AGAACATCACACGGGACCTTACGGGATGCTCCTTCCCCTTGCAGGTCGTGTCCTTCCATCTCCCGCGTCCGCAGGGAAGGTCGCAGTGCAGGAACAAAGGGCTACTGGGATGTAAGGCTGACATTCACTGCTTCCCGCAGGAAAGGGCACGCTGCTTGCATGTGGATAGCATTGAAGGAGCCGCTTCAGAGCCTCAGCGGGCACTCTGCTCGCTGGACCGTGCCCTAGGGGCTCTGAAGCAGCTGAGCCTTTCACAGCAGGAAAGGAGCTGCTTGCGGGAGAGGTGCTAACTGAATTGGAAAATGCTGTGACCCATAGCCTTGCCCATGGAGGAAGCAACTGCATTTCACTCCAGGCACTTCCAAGCAGCTGGAGTTTTCAGGACAGTTGAATTCAGAAGGAGCAGCTTTGGGGGGAGGCTGGGTCCCTTGGCTGGGGAGATAAATCCAGAAACAGGCTCTAATTCCAAACCTATAGCCTGGCCACGGGACTTGGCTGGCAGAGGTGACCTCCAAGGGTTTCATATTCCCACAGGTTCTTTCTTCTACTCTAGGCAATAATTCCTCCAGCTGCTTGCATGGCTAAAGGCAGCAGACCGCCTCTCACCCCCAGCCCCACCGTAAGAGCTCACGGCAGAAGGCGCAAACTGGGAGTGGCTTCGAAAGAGAAAGACGCAACAGTAAGGAGAGGGAGCACAGCAGAGGAGCCAGGAGCTCTGAGCTTCTCCTAGCCATGTCTTTCTGGCCTAGGTACCTTCCTGAGATGCCAGGCAAGACACCCTGGTGTCTTGGACACCCCCTTTGCTCACCCCACCACCCTTGGTCAGCAGCCCCCCCTTTCGTAGGTGACAGCAGCAGTGGGATGAAGACAAACCTTCCCTCTCATTTTCCCTCCCCATCCCATCCACGCTACAGCTCCAATGGTGAAGTCAGCATAAGGGGCAGGCGGGTGGTTTCCCCTTCCTTGTGCCAGCAGCCGCTGTGTCGACAATGAAAAGCCAGGGAGGAATCAGCCCAAAGCTGTAACGCGTGGGTTGGGGTTTTTTTCTCTCTCTCAAATAAAAGTCCATTAATAATCAGCAAAGCGTTTAATGAGAGGCTAGAAGGAGTTCTCACCATTAAGAGGGGATTAAGGGTAATCTTCATCGCTCATGCCGCCTTGCTGTGCGGAGGCGGTTCTGACCTGCTCTTGCCAAAAAGGCCCAAGGTGGGTAGGAGCGAGGCAGGGCTGGGACACACAGCCCTGGGGGATGTAGGACTGCAGCTCACCTGATGAAGGGTCCCTGTGGGAAGGAAACAAGACATGGTTTAAGCATGATCAGTTTTGAAGCAGCCATTCACATTTAAAAATCATTGTGGTTTCCTCTTAATTAATCAGGGCTCCTCCTTAAGGAGGGGGCTGCAAGTTCTGCTGACGTGAAACGAGAGCAACTTTTCATCCTGACACACAGCTGTAATTCAAATTTGGCCAAACAGATCCTCTGCCAGTTTGCAATGTGTGATTTGCTCCGGCAGGCATCACAGCCTCTGCGCTGGGATGAAGCTAAACTGCTAAACCAGAAATCTTGTACCATATGGGTCCCTTACCGACCAGACAGGGGATGTGCTGTCCTCAGCGTCTCTGGAGTAAGCGTGCATGAGAAAGGCTTGATGCACAGCATATTCCTTGCTATCTCGCCCACAGCAGGGAAGGAACAGCCCCTGGGGCCATCCCACCCTCTACGCCCGCTCCCAGAACACCAGCGGCTTCCCTGGCCGCCACAGGCACAGAAGCAAAGTTTCCAGGAGCTGCTGGAACCAAACTTTTGGATTTGGCACCTCAAGGCCCTGCTAGAGATGCTGACCCCCCGACAGCCAGCTGGGAAACAGAAATTGCATCTTCCCCACCTGACTTCAGCCGGGCTGGCACTACAAAGAGCCGCAACTGGCCCAGGGAGCCAAAAGCAGTGTGGAATATCTTGGAACAGTGATTAGATTTTAGAAAGTCATGATCTCATCATGCATCTCCTGGGAGCAAGGAGAAAAGCATCCTCGCAGATTAAAATTTTGGTTCCAAATTATTCATTCAGCGCTGGGAGCAGGAAACTCATTTTCCTGGCTTTGTATTTCTGTCAAACTCTGTGCTTAATTCTCTTTTCATATCGCTTTTATACTCGTTTGACACCACTGATTTATGTGTAGCTACTCCTAATCTGTGATAGTGAAAGGAAAGGCACACTCAGATCTGCTGTCCTAGATTTCACTGTATTATCTGCTGACTTCAACTACCCCGTCTCCCTCTCTCAGGCATTACTCCGAGGGGGGTTTTCTAGGGTGCTCTCAACCATCCAGGCCAGCCCATTTCTCCCCTGCCTACATTCAGAGTCCTGCTTTGCAGGCTCCGCGCCCTGGGTTACAGCCTCGCCGTATGCTTCCCTTCTGCCTCGCAGCCCTTCACCATCTCTCACCAATTCCCAGAGAGGTGGTTTGCTCTTCTTCTCCGTCTCTGCTAGGTCTTTCCAACTCCCCCACGTTTTAGGTCATCGGGAAACTTAGGGACATTTTATGCTGCGTCTCCCTCAAGGTCACAAATTTCAAAGGGGACTTGGGGTGTGCTGTACGTCCCCTTTTCCCAGGCCAAAGATTTTTCCCTAATACTCCACTCTCTAATTCATCTAATTCATACTAATTCATCTCTTTTCAAAGGCCTCCTCAACCTAAGCTGAGTAAAGCAGTGGTAGCTCCTAAAAAAAAAATTTAGCTCCTAAAAATATCCAGAAAGACAACCACGCTGGGATTTAACTGTACAGCTGTACTTTGAGAAGGGCGAAGTGCCTGGCTGCAGCTGGAGACTGTTTTGTCTCCCATCTCTCAACTCCGTCATGTCCTCCGTATGTTCTAGCAAATTCATCAGGCATGACTCACAGACCTTCCCCGTACGCATTCCTGTCTGCTGACTGCCCCTTCCTAAAATTAGACCCTACTCTTGTTGGCACACGGGTTCAGTCACGGGGGAAGGTGAGGAGCTGCAGCCCCACGTCCTTGTGTCGCAGTGGGGAGTTGAGTCCAGAAGGGACTGGTGTTCAGGCTGAGGGGGACGATCCATCTCCCCTGCTCAGCTGGTCCTTGGCTCTGCTGCTGCAGTGGAGGGCAAGGATGATAAATCTTTCCGTTCTCCGAGAGCTGGCTGGAGACCACTGCTTCATCTCATGAAGGGCAGCCCCTGAGAGATGAGAACGCTCTGGGACTTGAGCATCTACTCCAGAGAGGAAAGACACCTCCCGCTATGAAATCCTGGAGACCACGATTGCTTGCTGCTCCTCCTTCCAAAGTCCCAAATTTGTGTGAACGTACCCATGTGCCTTTCAGTGACCTTCCTGCTCACTCAAGGACTCACTAGAATCAGCCTGGGTCCCAACGGCTTCTCCAGGCATCCTATTCCTAAGGGTCTGGTGGGTGTGGGTCTCCATCTGCTAGAATGAGCAGCTCCGAATGGGTGGTGTTTGGGGAGGAGACGAAGGAGTAAGATCATCGCTCAGCTAAGTGTAGAACAGCACTGACCTTCAGCTGGGGAATTCTGTGCTCCCGTTATTTTCTCCGCTCCGGGGGGAACATTCACCAGGAGTGAAGTCAGTTGTTAGGAGACACTGACACTACAGCTAGAATATTTTCAGCCACATTCAGGCGGCTGGGACTGACTATAAATCCAACAAGTGTTACCGGAGACGTGCACACATGCAACCTTCTTTTACTGTTGACCTCAGCCCCAGCCCCAGATTGTGCTCCCGTTATTTTCTCCACTCCGGGGGGAACATTCACCAGGAGTGAAGTCAGTTGTTAGGAGACACTGACACTACAGCTAGAATATTTTCAGCCACATTCAGGCGGCTGGGACTGACTATAAATCCAACAAGTGTTACCGGAGACGTGCACACATGCAACCTTCTTTTACTGTTGACCTCAGCCCCAGCCCCAGAAGGGCAGTGCTGTGCGATGGTTACAAAGCAATAAAAGTATTATTCTTTGATGAGAGTCAGAAAAAATTACTCCTTCTCACCCTGCTGACCTCCTGGGTGTAGTCAGAGTCCTAGCAGTCTTGTTAGCGTTTACTGCCTTTGGGTTTCAGGGCACAAGCTGGAGATTGTGAATTAAATTTGATCAGGGGAGAGGGAACTGGAGTCCAACCTGCTGCACTGAGCACGGGAAGGACTGTGCCAAGCCTACAAGGTAAAACCTTCCCCCTGAGATGCCAAGCAGGGCTTTGCACTGTGCAGCTCCCTTTGGAAGAGGCTCCCGGTGGGGGTGTGCAGGAGCCCAGCTGGTAAATCAGAGCCCAGTGCTCCTTGGCAAGGCTGGCAGCTATGCAGATCCACCCTGCAGTTGGAAATTCAGCTGCGCTCTGGAGTTGGGAATAAACACAGAGCCTCGGGCTATTCCTTTCCTGGCCTTTTCACATTACAATGGTCCATCGGTGCTGTTAGCTGTGAGTGGATGGTTCCAGCCGCCTGAGAGACAGCCCATCAGCTGCAAAATGAGTATGAAAAATGTTCTGTCAAACTAACCGGGAAAAGCAAAAGAAACACTCCCGTTTACTACTCCTGAATTTCAAACCTCCAGAGTGCTCATCAAAGCATTCATACTTCCAAGGCAGATTTTGCATTTCCTCCCAGCTGTCACTGTCAGACTGTAATAGGAAACAACAGAGAAAACGTAGTGCGTGGCTGGGAGGGATGAGATGAATGAGCTACTCGGTGGTCTGCTGCGTTGTCAAAGGAAAGTCTTTCCAAGGGTCAGTTATTTCACACGTGTCTAATGCAACTCATACTCGCAGCAGACATCTCCTAGAACCTCACTGGTAACTAAGACATGGAGTGCCTGCAACTTCCAGGTCCCATATGGAGAACCGTATGCAGGAAGGACCATGAACAAGGTCCTTTCCCACTCCCTTCCTTGCCCTTGCTCTGTCTCCTGCCTGTGGCCGTGACTTTGCCTCTGTAAAGGCTCTGCTCTCCCTCCTTGCAGACAGCCCATCGGCTCCAGTAAATGTCACAGTCAAACACCTGAAAGCCAACTCAGCCGTTGTGACTTGGGATGTTCTGGAAGATGAAGTTGTCATTGGATTTGCAATTTCCCAACAGGTATGGTGCCGACAGTTACCCAGTTTCGGTCATGTTCATCTTCACCCCAGGTCCCCTCAGTTTCCAAATTCTCTTGCTGCGGTTTAAGCCCATTCCTTCTCGTCCTGTCCCTCGTGGTCTGGGAGGGGACTTGGCTTCCCATCCTCTTTGCAGCAGCGCTTCACGTATTGGTAGCTGCAGAGAGGAAAGGGTCCGACGGCCTCCACGTCCGTGGTGGACAGGGCAGGAAGCAGTGGTCTTAGATGACAGCAGTGCACATGGGAGGCCTCTCCACCACTCTGTGCTCTCCTCTCTCGGCTTCCAGAAGAAGGACGTGCGGATGCTGCGCTTCATCCAGGAGGTGAACACCACCACCCGCTCCTGTGCCCTCTGGGACCTAGAGGAGGACACTGAGTACATTGTGCATGTCCAGTCCATCAGCATCCAAGGCCAGAGCCCTGCCAGTGAGCCAGTCCTCTTCAAGACCCCCAGGGAAGCTGAGAAACTAGCCTCTAAAAATAAAGGCAAGTGTGGGTGAGTTCCTATGTGGCCCCTGGGACACCCAGGCAGTGTAGGGCTATGCAGAGAGGAAAGCAGTATCCTGTGCAATGAGAATAGCTGGCTTAAACACACGCAGGGCTGTGCCCTCTCCCAGCCTCATGTGGACACATGGGATGCCCTGCGTGTACCCAGCAGACAAGGCTGACGGGTCCAAAAAGCGGCAGGGAGACGCTGCCGTTCATTTCTCCCATTTCAGATGAGGTTTAACAGGCAGAGTGAGGAGGAGAAGGTTTCCAGACTGGGAGCTGGGTGTCCAGAAACCTTGCAAGTGGAGAATGCCAGGGGAAATTCCTGAGCAGCCTGTGAACTCATGTGGAAATAGACCCCCGGATGGCACTGGGCACACCACCACTGTGCTCACAGGGCACTTGGGATTCGCTGAGCCTCCTGTGCTTGGATTCCAGGACAGCAGGGGGAAATATACCCAGAGACTGCCACTTTTTTTACCTTTCAAATATTTCTGCCAAATCACAGAATTACAGAAAGTTGAGGTTGGAAGGGACCTTTTGCGATCACCTAGTCCAAACCCCTACTGAAGCAGGGTCAACCAGAGCAGGTCGTCCAAGATCATGTCCAGTTGAGTTTTGAGTATCTCCATGGAGGAATTCAGGCACTTCCTCATGGGCAGCTCCTTCACTTATTCCTCTTAAGCCAAACCAGATTGTTGAAGGTTTTTTCAGCCCGAATCTCTGATACAAAAAGGGCAAGGGAGTACAGGGGTCTGGGATATAAAGGGTTACTGCCTGCCTACTGAGGACCCAGCCTGTTGCAGGGCTTTTGGCCGTGGTTCCTAGGATGTTGTGAGTTCTTGACTCTTTCTGCTAAAATGATTTGGTGTCTGTAAATACTGAATTGCTGTTCATCTGAAAGCACTAAGAGGAGCACTGCTTCCCTCCCTGGAGGCCTGAACTGTAATCTTCTTAGTGCTTTGAAGCCAAGGAGGCGCATTACGCCCTGCAAAAACGCTCTACTCATTTCTGAATCCCATGGCTCCACCGAAAAATATCGTGCTAGGCTCCACACTCCTGAGCTGGGAGAGGAACTGCTGAAGCATGCAAGGCTTTGTGGCAGGCGCAGACGGCATTAACAGAGACCAGAGACAGAGCAGAGCGAGCTGCCACGGGGCCAGATAACATGCGGACTTACCCCATGGCAGCTCCCCTGTGGCCAGGGGCCGGTTGTCCCG